AATAAAGCTAATTGGCCTGTACAAAAGGCGTATATTGCTCCTGTTGAAATTACTGTGACCACCGCTCCAATAGTTTGTCCTTCTTTATCCATTGATATAAATAGGTATTCTTCTTTACCCAAACTGATCAATGTAACTAAGTTGGTGTTTGAATTTCTAAACAAGATGAATATTTCATATAAGTTTTCACATCCTCTGAATTTGGATAAAGAGGGTACAGGAGGAAATCTATGGAAATGAGATTAAATTGATGATGGAAAGAAAAATTGTGAAAGGTTCCATAATAGAGAAATTGGGGCTGTATTTAGAGAACAGTGTAATTAGGTGCAGAGGTAGGTTACAAATGCTGAATTGGGTGATTATGCTAAACACCCTATCTTACTGCCCAAAACTCATCATCTAACAAATTTGATTGTTCTAATGCCCATAAAATGTAATGCATGGTGGGGTACAAGATACCTTAAATTGTATTAGGGAAACTTTCTGGATTCCACAAGGACGGCAAAGTGTAAAAAGGGTGATTAAATCTTGTGTTATATGTCGCCGTGTGGATGCCAGATCCTATATGTACCCAGGTCATCCACCATTGCCAAAGGAGTGTGTACAATTAGTGAAACCATTTGATGTAACAGGTGTAGACTATAGTGGTCCAATAATTTTAACAGGTACTTCAGATGGTGTTCCTCTGAAAGTGTATGTTTGTTTGTTCACTTGTACTGCTACTAGGGCAGTCCATTTAGAAGTGGCACAGGACTTGTCTGCAGAACAGTTTATACAGCTGTTTCGAAAATTTGCAGCTATGAGATCCTGTCTGAGGTTGATGATTTCGGATAATGCCACAAATTTTGTAGCAGGTGCTCAACACTTGATAGAATTAAATAATAGTAACGATGTTCAATCTCTGTTAACCCAGCGAGGGTGTACCTGGAAATTTATTACTCCTAGAGCCCCTTGGCAGGGAAGGCTGTACGAAAGACTGATAGGCACAGTGAAGAGGTGTCTCCGCAAAGTACTTCACCGGAAAAGAATTAATTTGGAAGAATTCTGCGCAGTGTTAGCGGAGGCAGAAAATCGTATAAATAATAGGCCTCTCTCGTACATGAGTGATACACCTGATGCAGATGTATTAACACCTTCTCACCTAATATGTGGAAGGAAATTGGAAGCTGCCCCTATCTATAGAGATAATCCGGAAGAAAGTGATGAAGATTACAATGATGCGGCAGCGTTGTGTGATAAATTTAAAATGTGATATAAAGTAATTGATCATTGGTCTAATGTGTGGCGTAAGGAATATCTTCTTACACTACGTGAACACTTTTATGGTGCGACAGAGGCAGTAAATCGACAGAACATTCAACCAGGTGACACTGTTGATTGATACTGAACAACATTGAACATTGTGGCCTTTGGGCAAAGTATTGACATTGTACCCAGATGCACAAGGTGTTGTCAGGAATGTCAAAGTGTTGTGTCATGGCCAGGAAAGTTTATGCACAATTAATAATTGATTCCCTTGGAATTAGGTGTTCAATCAAACGTAAATGAAAACCTGAGGGAAAGTGACACAAGTGATATGGAAGATAACGCTGACCAAGTGATGCCGGAAAATGAAATCGTGGTAAGACCTACTAGGAGAACAGCCACTCAAGCCAGAACCGGCTGGAATCGTCTCCTAAAGGAAGGAGTAATTTGAGTCGTTTAGCAACGAACTCCAGCCGGTCGCAGAGTGGAAAATACTGTATATATTTTCCGGAAATACGGTAATTTATAGGTAAATAGATGCCCTATATTGTATTTTTAAAAGAAGTATGTTATCGAAAAAAAGTAGAGAGACTCGCCTTCTTGGTTTTGAATTTGTATTAGAAACGTTGGTGAATGGGGAAGAATTTTTCGTGCTCTAGAGGTTAAAATTGTGCTGACACCTCTCAAATAGGAGGCGAAATTGGTGGATGTGCATTCCTGCATAACTTGAGATATCAGACAACTGGACAAGACAGCTCCAGGAACCTCAGATAAGCTCTCTAGATTTGTGTGTAATTCTGGCCAGCATTATTTTCATAGATTTAGTTAGAGTGAGGTTTTCTGAGTATGATACACATTAATCTCCAGTCAAATTGGCGAGTGATATTAAGATATATTTTCCTTCTGTTATGTAATTGTGTATATATATAACCATTTATTATTTTTAATATACAGTCCACAAATTTATATATTTACCAGTATTCCTGGTGTATGTATATTTCATTTAATTAATAGGTCCAGAGCAACTTGTGGTTATGACAGTGGTAGGTATCGAAGGGGGACATTTTTGCGACCTAAGTGTCCCAAATTCCTACTTGTCTATGTAACATTGATAAATAATAATTATCTTTGTTATCATTTACTGCTATGTACATAATTAGTTACATTCAGATAAATGCAATTTTCCACAACAATGACTAGATTTTGGTTCTCGATCTTTACTGCTAAAACTTCCACTACATCATCTGAGGCATTAAGCAGTTCTGTGCAAACAAGTGACTCTGCAATGTACAGGCCAACCCCCTCCCCCAGGTTGTAACCTGGGATCCATGTTTCGTTGTCCAAGTGATCCTTTATGTGGGTCTCTGTGAAAGCCGCGAACATTGCCTTTTCCTCTGCAAGCAGTCCACGGATGAAAGGCATTTTGTTGTTCGTTGCTGGTTTTAGACCCTGTATATTTGCAAAGAAGAATGTCATCGGACTGGTGGTATTGTTGGTACTGGCGGGGGGGGGGGCATTTTTTCCGGCATCTGTTGGTTTGGAGTGGAGGCTATCGACTGTGGTTCCACTCCAGGAATGACTGGATTTGGTGTACGATTTCCGCCATTTCCTGCCAGTTTTTTTCCTTCCTGGCACTAAAAAACCTCTCCCTCTTGAGTGGCTGTGGCTACCCAGGTTTTCCCATGGCCTGGATGTTTTGTATCTTTTTGTCCCCTTTAGATGGTGTGCCTGGCAATTTAAGTTATAGTACAGTCTTTCCTGTACTGAAGAGGGACACATTTCAGGGTGAAAAAGCTTACAGGAAGGGAGTTTGCATTTTCCTTTTGTCATATGGGCACAGCATTTTCTAGGGTGGTCAAAGTCATTGATGTCAGCTATGGTCTGTGTACCTTGTACATGAACCTTTACTTTTGATATACCTTTGAAGAGTATCGAGAGTTTATCTACTCTCTGAGCCCGGCTGTGGAAACTTATTTGGTACCTAAAGTTCCACAGGACAGATCCAGCATGGCCATAATGGAATGGCTGAGCTGGGTGGCCCTTATATCCCACCCAAAACAAAGCATTCTCTAGTTGGCATGGATTGTTGGTAAGCTTATTTAATTTATAGATTTACCCTTCAGGGAAGGAGTAGGTAGTTTTACTGGTAGTACACTAATATTAGGATCATTGAGGCAACTGTAGATAATAATAATGTAGACCTAAGACCTTAACATAGGTAGAAATAGGCCGATAATGTAGGCAAACACTAGGATAAGTTAGCTAAGGAGAACTGGCAGCCCTAGTTTGAACGAAGAGACGAGGGTCTGGAAGAGAGACCAGCTCGTTCTTCTTAAGACAGACACCAACTGGACAAGACGTGCCGTGATCAGCAGACGGCGCCCCCACGTGTCTTCACATTTGAGACCTGGGGAAATCTGGTAGAGGCACCTCGATGTACCATAGATGACCTCCATCAGGCCCATACAGTAAGACAAGACCTCCACTTTATCTCATAGATTTCTGGCCAGTGTCTGGGGAGAATTGTGAGTTTGATCTGTGGGTCCGGTGTGCAACAGGCAGTGCATGCCCAGTAAGTACCAGTGTCTCAGGGCAGTCTGGAAGCTAGTGTCTGTGTCTGCATAGTTATACTAGGGGATACATACCCTCTTGGATATAGGAATTTCTGAGGTGCAGGCAGGACACTAATAACGATTGAATATTGCAGGAATTAGGGCTCCCGGTTGCACGTGGTTTCTGAGGGGAAGTCCAAAGGGGCTAAGGCTAAGCTTAGGGAAGTTGAAGATCAGGATATATGCTGCAACACCAAGTAAGTTAGTCCTTTATACGTGCATGCAGGCGAGTTTTCTTGCAACATCAATCATTTGTGAAAATCTGTCCTATAAGCCACTTGTGAGGCTGAGGTACCCACCTCAGAGCTCAGTGTCAACAGAGTTTGCCAGGGTAGGCGACTCACTTGGAGGCAGTCCACACAAATTTTCCCACCGGCCATCGGCCAGGATCGTCTGGTGCCTGCCTGGTCAACCAGGCTGTTACTGATGGAGGCCCGCTGCCCCACATATCCATCACCTGGTGAAGATACTTGTACTTGAAGTAAATATATTATTATTATTATTATTATTAAGTAATGAACTGTTTAGAAAGTGTGCTGCGTGAGTAATTCATGGCCACCCTTTTATGTGCACTGAGGTAGAGGGGCTAGGCTTATGACATATAGAGATACCTCTCTCATATCTCCCAGAGGTCGAAATAATAATTCTTTTTCTTCTTCTTCTCCCCTCAAGGAAGGTTCCTTGATGTTGGTGAGGGGCTCTTGATTTAGGGAATTGGATCTGTGCTCCAGTTCCCCGAATTAAGCCTGAATGCCTTCCACATCCCCCCCCCAGGCGCTGTATAATCCTCCGGGTTTAGCGCTTCCCCCTTGATTATAATAATAATAATAATTCTTCTTCTTCTTCTTCTTCTTCTTCTTCTTCTTCTCATTATTATTCTTATTTTATTATTATTATTATTATTATTATTATTATTATTATTATTATTATTATCATCATCATCGTGAGTTGTAGGGACCCACTGTATATTGTGTTGCCAAGCTGGCCAGCAGCTCATAAACAAACATGCATATAACCTGTACTCCGTGCGTGAACCTTCTATTTCAAGAATCTAAGCTCCAATTCCTTACATCAAGAGCTCTTGGCTAGCCTGGTGGCACCACCTTGTAGGGATGATTTATAATAGTGGCAAAGGTTATATAAGAGGAGTGGCCTGGTGGTGGGACCTGGTAACACTGTAGAGCCGGGAGACTTGTTGTGAGAGGATCAGCTGTGTCTAGCTAGCTAGCTAGGTAGAGATAGCTGGTAGTGTCATATCTAGCCGGGTTTATTAGTGAGGGGGTTTATTCTAGGTGTATCTGCCTAGCCAGGTTAGGATGCCTGCCGTCAGCCCAGCCAAGGACTTCTTAGCAGGGGGGTTTGGAGGGATGTGCCTGGTGGCTGCTGGACATCCTCTAGATACTATCAAGGTAAATGTAACGCTGATGATGCTGGTTTTATTTGGTTTAGGGACTCGGTTTTGATCATACCTATAACTTATGCTAGGTTGGCAACGCACTCGCCTCATACCGAGTGTCCGTGGTTTGATCCCCGGCACAGGTGAGTGGTTTTGGGCATGTTTCATTACACCTGCTGTCCCTGTTCACCTGGCAATAAGTAGGTACCTGAGTGCTAGTTGACTGTCATGGGTCGCATCCTGGGGGACAAGATTACAGGACCACAGTGGAAATAAGACAGTCCTCGATGGCACACTGACTTTCTTGGGTCATCATTGGTGGCTAACCCTCTGGGTTAAAAATCCTAATAAAATCTTATCTCTTTTATCTTTCTATTGGTAGGCAGAATAAAATTAACATCCTAGCATAACCTAGGTATAGAATTCTAGGTTAGGTTAACCCCTCAAGGGAGGTTCCTTGATGCTGGTGAGGGGCTCTTGATCTAGGGAATTGGATCTGTGCTCCACTTCCCTGAATTGACCCTGAATACCTTCCATATGCCCTCACAGGCACTGTATAATTATATGGGTTTAGTGCTTTCCCCTTTATAATAATAATAGGTTAGGTTAAGTTGCATTTACAAAAAGTTTTTCCTCATAAACCTAATTAATATTGGGAAATTTACATTAATGAAAAACTTGACCCTCTGAACTCAATATTAACTTATAAGTACACAAGTTACTTATGATTTTGGTTTTACAAACGTTAGTTTACATTTGATACAAATATTAACACAAACCTACATTGTATGATGATATCCCCAGTAGAAATAATGTAAGTTACAGTGTTTGGCTGTATATGTCTGCCTACTTTTGTGTGTGCATGTGTGTGTGTGTGTGTGTGTGTGTGTGTGTGTGTGTGTGTGTGTGTGTGTGTGTGTGTGTGTGTATGTGTATGTGTGTGTGTGTGTGTGCGTGTGCGCACACTCGCCTAATTGTGGTTGCAAGAGTCGAGAGACAGCTCCTGGCCCCGCCTTTTCACTGACCGCTACTAGGTCCTTGTGTGTGTGTGTGTGTGTGTGTGTGTGTGAGTGACTGAGTGAGAGATATAGAGAGAGAAAGAGAGAGATTAAGTTTACAAACTACTATAAACCTTGTAGGTAATACAGGTGCAGACAGTGTGCTTAGTATTGACACAAATGCTGGTATAGTATTTCATTTTGGAAATCAAAAAATAATGAAGTAGCTATAGTAACACAAAAAACACATGTGCATACTACATTATAAATTAATTTGTTACAAATTAAGTCTTGAACTAAGGTTTCATATGCAACAAGTTCACAATTGGCTACTTTTGTAACATTGGTAATAGTGTACGGGAAATTATACAACTCTTGCCGATTATGTCTACATGCAGGTTAAGCGCTCAGTATTCAAATATATTGTCTAACACAGTCACTTATCTCGATGGGCATGCTAATTAAAACACCTGAACATGTTTTGTAATGTAAATCAAACATTGATTATTGTCATATATTTAACTTCAAGTAGTGTAACAGTATGTATTAACCCTTTAAGGGTTGAGAAGCCCTCTCCCAAACTCATTCTCAGGGTCAAAATATTTTTGGAAAATTTTTTTTTTCTTATGAAATGATAAGAGAATCTTTTTCTGACCGTAATGACACCAAAAGTATAAAATTTGATGGAAAACTTACGGAATTATGCTCTCGCGAAGTTAGCAGTTTCTACTATATTTACGCATCAGTGATTTCACCCACTTTGAGCCCTATTTTTGACCAATTCTAATGTTCCGGTCTACTAAAATCATAGCTATTTCGCTAGAGTTCCATTTGTTCTATTGAATGAGCACAAGAAACCGCCCACTTACTAATTTCAACTACCCAATAAAGCAGTCAAAATTTGGCAATTTGGCCAATTTCACACAAATTTCAAAAGATGCCAATTTCAAAAGATGGTCCAGAATAAACAAGACAGACATTCCTGGCACCAAAGTAACATTTTATCTGTTCATCAATCACGTCTCCAGGCCCCTCTTACATTACTTTTGCTTTCCATTTTGAATTTTTAGTCTCACAAAAAATAGAAGATTTACTGTTATGTGTACTACTGCATCATTGTAAAAATGGTATAAATAATATGAGCACACTTATAAAAGAATAGTAGACTCGCCAGTTGACATGTATTGGACGCGTGGCGTGATTTGTTTACTCTTGAACATCGGCAAAAATTTAACATTTTTGCTACTTTGAGCTCGGTTTCAAGGTACTTGTCATTGTGAAACCAATCACAATCATCTCTATTTCTGTAATATATCTTCCGTTCCATCAAATGAGACCAAGAAAATGAAAATACAACCATAAATACCATACAAAAATACACTGCAAAGTCACTGTTTTAAACCAAAAACACAGTCTGAGTTTTTTTTTTATTATTATGCACTGTGTGCTGCACGATTTTTTTTATTACGCGCACACTGTCCACGCAGACCCATTCTTTCATATGTAGGCCTACCAGCTTTCTCTCTCTAGATTTGAAGGCACTAGAATTTACGCGTACTAGTACGGCACCAGTCCTGGCTTGTAAGACGTATTAGTACGGCACCAACCCTGAAAGGGTTAATAAAGCCTGGGACACAAGTATCAAGGACTCCGGTGGAATTAAGTCACTTTGATATTTTTTTTTGGGGGGGGTGGTTATCCTAGGTAATCCGCACATATGCTGCTATGTATGACTATTTATGTAACTGTATTTATGTGTACCTGTAGCTGAATAAACTTACTTATTCAACAAATCTTCACTTGCACATTGCTTATTGTACTTGTAGTGCAGTATTGTAGTATATATTTAGTAAAGTCATTCTTCTTCATTTCTGCAGCTTCACCAGCTTGGTGTTCTTTAACTTTAGCTTGGTATTTGTTGATATTGCTACTTGCTTTGATACATCTAGATAATTCCATTCCTTTACACAGTAACTGTATTGTATGAGAAAAGGGGTTTTTGATGCCAGATTTAATACAGTGGGTGTTTCAGATTGCTTACTAACCCTAGTATCATGTTGGTTTCACTTTCCTACTCTTTCAAAAATTTTAGGCAGTAGACTGAACACAGGTTGTTGGCAACATTTTGAACTTTATTAATTTTAGGTATTTTATTGTCTGCTACCTTTATCATTTATAATTTTTGCAGTGCTTCTTTACTTGCATATTCCTTTAAACTTTAGCCTCATACACAGAATTATTAGTGGAAACAGAACATCACATTACAGTGATTTTGCCTAAAGCAAATCTGCAGGGCAACCTGTATCTTCTAGCTTACTTTTTTAGCACTGTATAAACTAACAAATTTTAATAATTCATTATACAATCATTGTGCCTATTTGTATTCTAACTACCCTGGAATTCATTTTGCTACCATTTCATTGTTGTATGATTTGCATTATGTTTTAAAATATTGGACACTTCTGTGATTGTCTGTAGACTATATGATATCCATCTGTGCCTAAATAGTATACTCTATATAGCTAAGTAAGACACACATACAACATTTGGGCATCTTTATTGTTGAAATGCTATGCCTGCTCTGCTGGCCTCTTTAATTAAATACAAAGGTAACAAATATTGGAGACAGCAAAAGCAGTGGAGACACAGAGGTAAAGTGATCAATCCCTCAACCTTCAAGCAGTACTTTTTAAAGTGGTCAGTCCCTCAGTCTTTGAAATGTGTTCAGCTTCATTATCTTGATCAAAGTGAAGGTGAAGCATGAGAATGGGACCTTTATACTGGGACCTGAAGTGAGGTGATGGATTTGGAAATGGTGGCATAGGAGACAGATCATATAAATTGAGGAACACCACAGGTGTCCTACTGGCCCATGCAAGGCAGGTCTCTCTCAAGACCCTTATAACTAGTGGTACAGCAATAAAGTTATAGATGTCCTCTGTATCAAAGTACAGTGGACCCCCGCATAACGATTACCTCCGAATGTGACCAATTATATAAGTGTATTTATGTAAGTGCGTTTGTACGTGTATGTTTGGGGGTCTGAAATGGACTAATCTACTTCACAATATTTCTTATGGGAACAAATTCGGTCAGTACTGGCACCTGAACATACTTCTGGAGTGAAAAAATATCGTTAACCGGGGGTCCACTGTACTGTGGTGTTGCTATGCCAGACAAATACCATTATAATAAATGTATACAGTGGACCCTCGGCTAACAATATTAATCCGTTTCTAAGAGCTCATTGTTAGACGAAATTATTGTTAGCCGAATTAATTTTCCCCATAAGAAAATATGGAAATCCAATTAACCCATTCCAGACACCCAAAAGTATTAAAAAAAATTTTTTTTTCATGAAATACATATTTCCCTACAAGGAAAACAATGAGACATACACAATAACTATATAAATAAATGTTAAAATGACACATTTATTGAAGAGTATTGATGAGTGATGAGACACTGTTTTTCTTGAACATTCTGGATTTTCAGAGTGATACATGTGTAAATGCTTCACTTTGCAATCCCCACTAGCATTACAACAAAACAAGAAAGTTAGCCTGTCTTTCATAGGCTTGTGTCCTGGGAGTGCCTTTTCCTCCTGAGTAATGTAGGTCCTGTTTGGCATTTTCTTCCAGAACAGGCCTGTTTCGTCACAATTGAACACTTGTTGGGGTTGGAATTTTTCAGCTTCGCCATGCCTTATCACACTGCGTATACCACTACAATTCTTAAATCTCTCAAACCAACCTTTGCTGGCCTTAAATTCACCAATATGAGCACTAGTTCCAGTCATTTTTTTCCTGTTTACCCGAGTGTTAGTCGACTGGTGTGGGTCGCATCCTGGGGGACAAGATTAAGGACCCCAATGGAAATAAGTTAGACAGTTCTTGATGACACACTGACTTTCTTGGGTTATCCTGGGTGGCTAACCCTCTGGGGTTAATTGTTTCTCCACATCTTCGAGTAGTACAGCTGACGATGGTGCAACAACAGCTGACAGTGGTGCAGC